CTCCCACGAGAGCCATATCATGGCTTGAGGAGTACATAAAGAATGAGACACGATTACCCACTTCAATAAAAACTCACCCAAAATTCAAGAAGCCTTTCACTATCTTCGATCATGCCATTTTAACCAAACTTTCTTTTTCCTGGCTTTTGTTGCAGGTTAGTCTTGATACAATGGTGGTGTTCAAGGAAGTCACATCTTCAAACGAAAAGTATCTCCTTATCGCTGACAGCGATGGTGACTCTGGTGATAAAGGAACGAAATTATTGGTGCATCCCCCTATACAAGGAACTTACTCTGGTAAGTGGCCTTCTCACCAGTACCCAGAATTGAAGAATTGGTCACTTGAACTTTCTCAAGATGACGGCACGAAAGTCCACTCCTTGAGATCTCTTATTCATAAGGAGCCAAGAACAACTCCCTTTCAAACCCTTGGCAGGCGGATCATAGACGGAGATGCACACTGGGGTCCTTCCTTGCGACTCAATGGTGCATTCAGTTACATCGAAAATTACTAGGAGTGGTTGGAAGATATTCTCGGCAGGAGCAAACAAGTGCTCCATGAAAATTACTTGTTTGACGCCTTATATGCTTCACTTTTCACATACGATAGGAATCCCTATGTACTTAGGGCATTCTGCGAGGCGTGGTGTCCGGACACTAATACCTTGCATACATCTATCGGGGAATTGTCTCTCTCACTTTGGGACTTGCACAAGTTAGGAGGACTTCCAATCATCGGGGGTATCTATGAAGAGGTAATTCCATGCGCGGAGGAGCTAACTGAAGTTAATGAAAAGAAATTAAGGCATATTCCACAAAGCTGTGAGTATTTGTTCGCAGCCTTTCATCATCTTCAACATGGGGAATCCAACAAAGCTAGAGTTTCTGCTGCCCAATGGATTAAGTTCTGGTTTAAAGGCAAAACCAGATACTCAAAGCCAAAGCAGAGAAGGATAAAGAGGGCATCTCGTGCTCAAGTGACCCAAAATCCGGATGGCGAAATTGGACAACCACGCAAATTTTCAAGTCAAGATAATGGCGTATTTGATACCATCAGAGTCAAACTTCACTTGCGGGAAGAGACCTATCTTGCAGCATTTATATCTTGCTGGCTCTGTGTCTTTGCTTTACCAGATGAGGACCTCCATTATATTAGACCATCTACTTTCAAAATGGCCAGTATGATGGCTGCCGGTCGTAAGACTTGCCTTGCTGTTCCTGTCTTGCTAAACATATACCGTGGGCTTCATAAAATTTCAAGCTCAACTACCCCAGGGTGTGCACGTGCGGCTTTTCCGGTGCACTACGTATATGCTTGGTTAGCGAGTTATTTCTCTACCCATTATTCGACTCCAAATACCATGTCTGGACCCACCATGACCAACTATTCTGGAGAGGGTGGTGTACGATACTTTGATGAAAATAGTGCTTGCGACCTCATTCATCAGGGAGACAAAGCAACTTGGGGAATCACTTCTCTTGTGAAGAACCGTAATGAACTTTTTATTGACAATGGCAAATTAGCAAACTTCGAACTAAGTTATTTTGTAAGTGCCTGCTTAAATTACTTAGTTTTGCATGCTGAAGGGGATTTCCTTGTTGAGCCATATAGTCCATATAGATTTGCGCGGCAATTCAGCTTTTATCAAGTTCCTCCACAGGAACTCGGGGCAGATGTTCGTTCCACAAGTTATGACTTGAGTCGAATACTCTGGCGCACTGCCATTCGCAGTAAAACAGAGTCAAAGGTACTTTTCCCTAGCTATCCCTTGAATGCTAGCAAACACACATCTTCAGGCTTTCAAACATGGTGGGCTATGGTGCATGATGATCATCTCCTCAAAGGGCGTGATGCTTTAATTAAGAGTGTCCAATCAAATAGGGAGCAAAAGAAGTCGAAAGGGAAGGAACTTGCAAACTTGAACAATTCTTCCAAGGTTGGCAATAGTCTTGAGATGAAGCAAAAGACTATGAGAAGTGAGAAGGAAATTTTGAAGAGTTCAAACAACAAGACTACTACCCCTGAGAACCTTACTCCTAATGAAGAATTTTTGAAGGGTACTTCATTTCATCTTCCTTCAAACATTGTGAAGGCTATTGATTATGATTCTTGCAGTTCATATGAGAAGAAGCGGAGTGAGCCTTTTAATGAGGAGGATGAGCAATCCACCAGCACGGATCAGCATTGAAAATGCAAGAAGTCCAAGGTAATGACTCTCCCCTTGGATGATATTGGTTTAGATCCTAAAGAACTCTTTAAAGACATTCCGGATATATCTGTGCCTGGTATAAGCCGTGCCAATATTGTAAGGACCCTCCTTGCCTTATTTAATCTAGCATTTGAAATTTGTTTGTTAATTTCATATTCATGATTTGTCTCACAACATTTTCCCTACAGTTGGATGATCAAGACTTGATCTTCATTGATGATAGAGAACCAAGTCAAGTATCAGTTGAAGGACCTACTGCATTTGAACTTTTGGGCCAAACAAGTGGTCAGTTCTACCCAACAAAAGGGTGCTAGTGAGAATTCCAAAAAGACAGTAGAGGATGGAAATGTGATTTAGCAAATCATGTCACAGAAGGCGGAGCACATGACTCCATCGGCCAAAAGGAAACTCAAAGTTTTTGATCCACCATCGTGTCGAGTGTCTGAATTTTGCCCCCAAAGCGTGATCTCAACATGTCGTCGAGTCTATATCCAAATGTTATGGAATAACTTGAGAGTTATGATATCTCAAACAGTCTTGGAGCGCATGCCAGCTCTTGAAATGAAAGCCAACGAAATCATGGAGGAAATGCAAAACTTCAATGCCACGGATATCTCAAATTTGCAAGGCCTTTTAAAGGCTTTGTTTGCAAATGCAACTCGTTACGTTGCAGTGAAATCTTCTCTCTCAAATAAAATTTCAGCTGAATCATATGATGAGTTGCTTTCTACGGCCACCCAACATCTTAGAGATGCTTAGAGTAAGGAGAAACAACAAGTGGAGAAGATCTCAACGCACATGTTTAAACTTAAGGAGATTGATCGCGAGGAAATAGAGTTGAGGAAGCGACTTGAGTTCTTGGATACTCACAGGAAGGAGACGCTTTCACTGTTACGAGAAGAGCAGGATGAGCTTATCCGAGTGCAAGGCGTGATGGTCGACTTACAAAATGAAGTTCGAAAGATTGAGAATTCCCCGCGTCTACTTGCTGAGGAGAGTCAAACTTTGGACAAGATGCAAGCATTACTTGAAAACAACCGAAAGGAGCTGTCATCATTTGAATTCTAGGAATAGTTGCCATCTTTTACTTTGTTTCAAATTTCATCTTTTGTTAATTGATCAAAGCGTGTAGCTATGAGTACAAGCACTTCATAATGAAACTTGATTTTTTTTTCATCACATTCTTGCAGACGTCCTCGTCTTTACTTGCTCTTTCGATAGCCTCCGTTTTAAGCTATCAACCGTAGTATGAACAATTCCATCTTTACATAATTCTGATCACACTTGAAAAGGTAATTATCCAAATAATTTGGTAATCTGAATAATATACTTTCAAGTATATGTCACAAAATAATTCGAATTGTCCTAAAGATGAACATTTTTTTCTTTTTTTTTATCAAAAGAATCATCCGGGCAAAGATTTTAGTTTTATAATGTTGTAACTAAACTTAGAAGTTGCCCTCTAAGCTGTCTATGTATCCCAAAAGAGAATCAAGGCACACGTAGTTCCTACCGTTCACAGTTTAAACTCTTGCGGGTCAGGAGTATCCTTTTGTTTACCACCTTAGATTTGGTGGAGTGTTTCAGCAGTTTAACCACGTGCTACACTATTGGTGGTTGTTATCCACAGTTTTAGCTCATGTTGGCCCGAAGCAACATGCAGTTTAGACTCATGCGTCATGGAGTGCTTCATTTTTTTTTATGTCATGTATAACTTCATGAATTTTCCATTTATGGGACCAACTTTTACAGCATCTTTGTCCACCAGTTTATACGCGCCATTTGTGTAGATTTCTCGAACAACATATGGCCCATCCCATTTAAAAGCGAATTTGTCTTTAGTGCGATGAGTCATAACTATTGGCTTTCGAACGGTGAGTACCATGCCACCGACTTGAAAGGAGCGGCGCCGAACTTTCTTATTGAAGGCTCTAGAGAGACGGGTTTGATAGCATTCAAGATTTTGTTGGGCCTCCAACCTCTTTCCATCTAAAGCTTCCAATTCTTCAAGGCGCAGGCAAACATTTTCTTCCTCCGTGAGCCCTTCTTGAATAGCAATTTTCAAAGAAAGAATTTGTTGTTCAAGGGGCAGGACAGCTTCTACACCGTAGACTAAGGCATATGGTATGGCTTGCGTTGGAGTTCGGTATGTGGTGCGATAGGCCCAAAGAGTTTCGCCTATGCTTTCGTGCCAATATTTCTTTGATTTGGCCACTACTTTCTTCAACAAGTTATACAAAGTTTTGTTGAATGCCTCTGCGAAACCATTGGCGGGGGCATTATACATGGAGGACTTGCGTTGCTTGAAATTAAATTTTTCACACAACTTATCCATCAAGCTATTGGAGAAGGATTTTCCATTATCAGTGATAATGTACCGGGGAACTCCATAATGGTAAATAATATTCACACGAATAAAATTCACCATATCTTCCTTTCTAACTTGCTTGAGCGGTATGGCTTTAGCCCACTTAGAAAAGTAGTCGATAGCAGCAAATATATATAAATGTTGATCGGACGACTTTGGTAATGGTCCCACAACATCAAGGCCCCAAGCATCAAAAGGCCAAGAAGCAACGGTCGGGTGTAACGGCTCAGGTGGTTGATGCATGTAATTTGCATGAAACTGGCAAGCCTGACATCTTTGAGCATATTCTATGCAATCTTTGACCATAGTAGGCCAATAGTAGCCCATCCTTTTAATCCGAAAATGCAACTTAGGACCGGATTGGTGAGCTCCACATATTCCAGAATGTGCCTCGTGCATCGTTCGATATGCCTCGTCTTCGCTCAGACAGCGCAACAGTACACCTTCAAATGATCTTCGGTACAGCGTGTCCTTGTACAGGATAAACGAGAGGCACGACGACGGATGTCAGTTCTCCTACGTTGCTCCTCAGGTAATTTTTGATACTTAAGATAATCAACGAGGGGTTGTCTCCAATCTTCTTTATCAATTTCATAGGTTGAGGCCACATGAGCGTCGCCTCCTTCAATATCTTCATCATCAATTAGTGATGGAATTACCCACTTTTGACATACACGAACTTGTATCTCATGATCCGGCATGGCAAGTGAAGAGGCTAGCACAACTAATGCATCAACTTGCTCATTTTTCCTTCTAGGAACATGCCTAATACTTGCACCTCCAAGCCGCTTCACAAGTCGCATTGCATATTTGTGATACGAAATTAATTCGGACTTTTTGACTTTATAACTTCCCAAGAATTGGTTAACCACCAATTGAGAGCCACCATAGATTTGAAGTTCCAACGGCTCCATGTCAACAGCTATTTCAAGTCCGAGTATGAGAGCTTGGTACTCAGTAACATTATTTGAACAATGTTGATTTAGGGTAAAAAAGTATAATAATATCCCTCCATCAAGAGTCATGAATACAATCCCTGCTCCAGCCCCATGACGATGAGCAGCACCATCAAAATACATTTTCCATGGTGGGCGGATCTCAATAAGGAGTACATCCTCATCTGGTAGGTCATCACTTAACTCCCATTCAACAGGTATCGGGTGATCAGCAAGAAAATCCGCCAGAACTTGTCCTTTCACCGCTTTTTGAGGCACATAAATAATCTCAAACTGTTGCAGCTAAAGATACCATCTAGCTAAATGGTCGGATAATAATGGCCTGCTCATCACATACTTTATGGGATTTGCCCTGGAAATAAGCCTTACACTATGTGCTTGAAAGTAGTGTTTTAACTTCTGTATTGCAAAAATAAGAGCTAAACACAACTTTTCAATTGGCGAGTAGTTTAGTTCGTTAGGGGTCATCATTCTGCTTAAATAATAAAGGGCAACTTCTTTTCCTTCATTATTTTCTTGTGCAAGCAATGCCCCCACTGAGCGTTCCTGAGCAGCAATATAAAGAAGTAATGGCTTTCCATGAATAGGTGTAGCCAAAACAGGTGCTTTCATAAGATAAGACTTAATGCTATTGAACGCATTACTACAAGTCTCATCCCATTGAAATGGCACATCTTTCTTCATCAAGCGACTAAATGGTTGACACATTCCTGCTAAATTTGAGATAAATCTCAGCAGATAAGCTAATCGCCCTTGAAGACTTTTCAATTCATGAATGTCATGAGGCTCAGGCATCCTCAATATAGCATTAATTTTGGCCTGATCAATTTCAATACCTCAATTGCGAACTACAAAACCAAGAAATTTCCCTGACGTGACTCCAAATGCACACTTGAGAGGGTTCATTTTGAGTTGATACCTTCTCAACCGATCAAATACTTGTCTCAAGTCCTCCAAGTAGTTACTCATTTTCTTTGATTTAACAACTAAATCATCCACATAACATTTGATATTTTTATTAAGCATGTCATCAAAGATGCTTTGCATTACTCTTTGATATGTGGTTCCAGCATTCTTGAGACCAAAGGGCATTACTTTATAACAATAAATACCCTTAGGAGTACGAAATGCAGTGAGCTCATCATCCTATGGTGCCAATCGAATTTGATTATATCCAGAAGAGCCATCCATAAATGACAGAACTTCATGCTCAGTAGTTGCATCAATCATGAGCTCAGTGATCGGTAAAGGAAAGTCATCTTTGGGACAAGTATTATTAAGATCTCTGAAATCAACGCAGATGCGGATTTGTCCATTTTTCTTTCGCACAGGCACGATACTCGAAATCCATGTGGGATATTTAACTTCACGAATAAACTCGGCTTCAATAAGCTTATTGACTTCAATTTTGATTAATGGAATCAAATCGGGTCTAAACCTCCATTGTGCTTGCTTCACAGGTCGAACTCCCTTTTTAACAGTCAAATGGTAGACGGCCACTTTTGGGCTTAAACCCGGCATTTCTTTATAAGTCCATGCAAAAACATCTTGATACTCCCGCAAAAGTTCAATATATGCCTTCTCTTCGTCGGGGCTCAATAAAACACTTACGTATATTGGACGCGGGTCCTCTGAAGTACCAAGATTGATTTCCTTTAGATCATCCACAGTGGCCTTAACTCCTTCCTCCAATTCAGGTGGAGCGTCTTCAACATCTTCTTCTTCTTTAGGAGAGTCACCGTCAATTATGGTTATATGATTGCATGAAACAACACTCTCTTCATCATACTCTTTTGGTCTTGTGTACACTACGGTATGCTCCCTGACCCTCAATTCAATCCCACACTTTATTACAAGGTCTGTGCATCTTCTCATTCTCGAAGGAATGATGCTACCAAATTTATGAGGACAATCAGAAAGTTCTTCAAGATTTTCCAATGACTTTGCTATCCTTCCCTTACTCTTATGGGAGTTTTGAGGTTTTTGTCTTCTTTACGGTCCTAACTTCTGAAAAACAGATACCCGTGGAGCTTTATTCTCCTTTCCGTGAAAAGTTTGAAATCTACCAGCTATTTGAGAAGACTCATCCTCCACAGTAATATATTGACTACTAAATCTATTGATCTTAATGCGGATTGGTGTAGGGGAAGAGTAGCCAAGACCAAATTTGAGATTTTCAACGGCATATCCTTTTTCCTTCAACATCTTTTGGGTAGGATTCAACCCATGGATCATGTCACTAGTAGATTGACAGGATGGAACATTTAACACAGCAAATTCTTTGAGATCATATCCAGCCTTAGCGAGAAGCTTATATGCAATGGGATCAAAATCTTCTTTGGTTCTTAACTTTGGTATGGTGTCTTGTTCGACTTCAGATTCTTTGGTTAAAAGGTTAGACCTTTTAAGCGGAGGAAATGATGCCTTTTTTGTATCAAGATGAACTACCGGAAGAGTCAAACCTTTTAGAGGTTCATGCTGAATTACAGGTGACTGTCCCTGTTCCATTCTTGACTTGGGAGGGTAGCGAAAAACAACTGATTCATTATTTGGAAATGAAACATCAGTTTCTTCATGAACTTCCTCTTTTGATTTTGAATTTATCGCTTTCTCCCCTTTTGCACTCGGAGATTTGGGGTTTTGGATTTTATCCACAGATAGAGGTTGCTCAGACTTATCTTTCGTATTGTGCCTTTTGATGTAAAATTTGGCATCAGCGATATATGCTTGCGCCTCAGTGAAAGGATTATCATCGGCTTTCACACTTCTTGCCACCCCATTTTGACAGTACTTGAAACATTGATGAAGGGTTGACGGTACAACTCCATTTTCATGAATCCAGGGCCTTCCCAGTAGTACATTGTATGTTGTCTTAACATCTATTACGTACAACAACGCTCTGGATGACATGTCATCAATGACTATCTCCAAATTTAGTGATCCAAGAGCTCTTTTGCCGTCCTTGATTAAAACCTTGAATCATCAGTCGGCTGTTGGAAAGTTCATCAATCGGGATGTCAAGCTCCTTCAGAGTCTTTAAAGGAAGAATATTAACTGCAGAACTTCCATCTATCAAAATTCTATTCACTTTTTGCTTATTTGCATAACCAGTCACAAACAAAGGGCGGTTATGCGGTGTTGACCCAAGCAACAAGTCTTCACTAGTAAAAGTGATACTTGTGACGTTCACCTCTTCATTGCCGGTGGGCACACGACCTCTTTCATTGTCGGTAGGCACACGGGCTATCTCACAGAGAGATTCGCGAGTATTATCTTTTTGCTCTTCGGTATGACCTACTCGCGTTGCGTGACTTGCGACCACATCAACATCAAAGAATTCTTTTAAAGTGATAGGAGTTCGCGGCTTTTGCTTGCAATTCGACTTCCTTGAAGGTTGCAACAGTTATTGTTTCTCTTTATGTTCTTCTCTTTCCCTTTCCAGATCACCTGACTTCTTGTTAAGGCCTTGTTTGCCTTACTAGATGGACGGGAATGTCGCCTCCTTCTGCGCGTGACTAAAGTTCATCCTTCATCATCCACATCAGGTCGTGACACCTTCTCGTCTTCATGTGCATGTTCTTGAAAAGTTAAAGTAGCACCTTCTTGTTCGATTTCCAAGGGATCCAATGAACCAAACTGAATTATTGGCAATGCAGGTACCATGACCCTTTTAATCTTTATAGACTGCAGGGAATCAATGGACGTTTGATTCACACTTGCCTTGTCTTCTTCAAGAAGAATTTTTCCTTGTCTCGCCAACTCCATTACTTTGTCTTTGAATGGGATGCCCAACCAATAGATAATACTTACAATAATTGGGATCTTCAGTGTTCCTGGCCTCGTCAGGTCGTTTCATCTCAGGAAGCGTGATCAAATTTATACTTAACAGATTGTCAAACATATCGGGGACATCAGAATCAAGGAAAGGGTACTCCTGATCTTGCATCTCCTTGAGAGTCGGTTTTCTCTTTCCTTGTTCTTGATGTGCATTGATCTTCCTGTCTTCTCTCCTAGCAGTTTTGGGAATGACCTTAAAAAGTGTTATGCTTGTAGTCATAGCCTCCTTCTTTTCATTTTTGAATGGTGGCTTGCCCCTTTCCTCATGTCTTGTCTTTCTTTGGCCTTGTGAGGGTCAGGAACTGGCGGTTCTTGTCCATCAAGATTAATCTCCAACTTATGGGCTTTTGTGGATAATTCATCAAATATTTCTGGTTGCACACCTTGTAATATGTATTTGAGTCCCTGGTGCATACCTTGAATGCACATCTCGATCGCGGAAGATTCAGAAATTCGATCTTTGCAATTTAAGTTTAGATTCCTCCAACGGTCGATGAAATCAATGACAGGTTCATTCTTCCATTGACGTGTATTAGAGAGTTCCGTCATGCTGACAGTTCTCTTTGTACTATAGAAGCGACTAAGAAATTAATGTTCTAGCTGCTCCCAACTGTCAATGGTCCCAGACTCCAGATCTGTATACCACTCAAAGCCATTGCCCTTCAGCAAGCGAACAAACTGCTTAACGAGCAAGTCGCCATCAGTGTCTGCATTGTTGCAGGTTTCCACGAAGTGTGCAATATGTTGTTTGGGGTTGCCCTTGCCATCGAATTGTTGAAATTTGGGAGGTTGATATCCCACAGGCATCTTCAAACTTTCCACTCTAGCGGTATAAGATTTGGTGTAACCGCTATATGACTTGGCACTTCCACCAATCTTGTCCTTGATGGTGCCTTCGATAAACTCCTTCAAATTATCAACATGAATAGTGCCATCAGGGGAGATTGAAAATTCCTTCGTAACTTGTGACTTCGCATCCTCTTTCTCCTTCTCCCTTGATGATGAGTCACCTTCATCTTGCACTTTGGATTTCTGTTTGGACATACTAAGGCTATTTTTGCCTATATTTTCCACCATAGTCATTAATTTGACTATTTTGGCATCTTGACTTTGAGCATGCACTACTAGCCCTTCGATAATTTTGGCTAGATTCGAAATCTGATCTTCCACAGTTGTAGTATTAGTCATCATGACGGGCATCGCCACAGAGGCAGCCAAATCACTTGGGCTATCAATGGATTCATCATGGGCTCCTTTCTTGTTAGGAAGCATCTTGAGGTTTGCTTCTTCAGTCACAATGTTCGCCTTAGCCTTCTCTGCTAACTTCTTGGCCTTACTCCTTGTCAGAGGTGTAGTATACTGCGTCCCTTGAGTGGTTGAGACATCAGCAACTAAGCCTTCAAGAGAAAAGTTCACCTTCTTGAACTCCATTGAATTTTGAAACTGGTAAGTTGTTGGAAGAAAAGAGATGAGAGGTAGAGATCGTCCCACCGGGCGTGCCAGAAATTTTTAAGCACAAATTTTGTTGCCTAAAATAAAAGACAAGAAAACTTGCACAAATATCAAATTGATTAAATCAAATAATAAGCGGATTACAATCTCTGAAAATTCTTGAATCAAAGAAATTAATCCCCTGATTCTTTTCTTCGAATAGCTTCAATTGAAGGGCCGAAAAGACTTATTCTCCAATCGAAAGGGTACTTCCTACAATTTCGGCGTAGAAAACGATTGATTTGATGATGGTGTCAAACACTTGGAACTTCAAGTCTTCAACACTGATAGCAAGAGGATTTGTTTGACTTGATTTGGATTTGGATTTGAGGAAGAAAGCTCTTGAGAAAATTTGACAGAGTTTCTCCGAAAGTTAGGGATTTTTTTCTCATGTCTTTGCCTTGAGGGAAGACCTCTATTTATAACCAAAATATGTAGGATAGGTCTTCAAGAAAACCCTCAGAATCTTCTTGCATTTTGGATCACTTGTTACCCAAGAAATTCATTTTACTTGGGTTTAAATAATGGGCCAACCTAAATAGTGCATTGTGAATTAATAAATCAATTAATTCACTTCAACTTAAATGGGTATTACAAATTTAATTTGATTTAATAGCCCATATAATATTGGCCCAATTTGCCAGTCCAAAACATTATGGACTTCTATAATTTAATTTAATTTAATCAAGATCGATTTAGTTTAAATAAATCTTGACTAAAATAAATTAAATAAATTTTCTTTGTCTACAGAGACCCTTCCAATCTCTCATAGAAGCCTTTGGAACCTTAGGAACTATTGCAGCGTTTGCGTTTGGAACTTGTGGAAAACCTTTTGGTAGTTTAGGAGAAGTAAAATCATCCTCCTCATCCATTGCTAGTTGAATCTGATCCGGAAAGAATGTGGCAATGGTATTGTTGGCATTTTGCAGCTTTGTTGACAAGTGATCATATAGCGATCGGCTAATACTCTGAAAGCTCGATAAGATTCCTCCACAAAGTTTGTCAGTTTTTCCTCTTTTTGTAATACATTTCTGCCCTTGGCAGAGGAATCTCTCCATCTTCTTCAATGAGCTTTAGCGTGTATTGTACCTTCTCTTCCATATCTATGACGCCATTGATGATATCTTTTTGGCTGAGGCTTAAACCATGATTTTCAAAGACTTTTAGGGCATAGGCAAATTTAAAAAAAAAACTACCTGTGAGAGAGTGTAAGACAGAGAGAGAAATCTAGTGGAAGCTTGGAAATGGCGAATAGACTAAGAAGAGAGTGAGAGAGTGATTTCGTCTTGGTCCTCTTGGAAGCGGGATCGAAGAGCAAAAGAGAAGAGAGAGTTAGAGGGATATGCGGTTGAATTGGAATATTAGGGTTTGGAATTGGGAATAGAAGTATTATTGTTTTGATAAATATATATAACTTATAATTATAAATATATTTAAACGGGTTCGGGTCGAATACAAGTCGGAATGTTGTATTCCATATTCGACCTCTATTTTTATTAGAGTAAATGGATTCGAATCCAGGTTCGAGTAGTGGAACTATATCTATACCCATGCATGGTAAAAATTTGCGGGTCCGGTTCTAAACTCGGCCCGTTGATAGGTCTAGACAGGGAGAGGGCATCACTTGCTTCCCTTCCCCCCAAGTTTATTAAAATTAGGTTTTCCTTAAGAATTTTAAAATATATTCTTTATAAAATAAAATTTTTGTCCCCTGCAAAAATTTGAAAACACGTGTATACATAATATTAAATATGTTAAAACTCGTCCCTTCTAACTAAATTTTTTGGCTAAGTCTATGCCCTTGGCCTTGAACCCTTCTCTAATATAATTTAGGAGTAGGAATAGAGTACATATTGATGATTGACAAAAAAAAACTAAATAAAGTTTCATCCCTTTGTTTTTTCTTTTGCTATATTAATTTCTAAACTCTAGTAAAGTATGGAGAGACTTTATAATGTTTTCTTTTTGTAAAATGACCAAAATTGTCCATCATATTTCAAGAGGGTCCTTTCTCGTTCCTTCACATGTGCAAGAATAGAAAATAGTCCATCATATATAACAAATACACCAATTTGATCTTAAAATCCATTTCTCACCAAATTTCCTGCTAAAAAACGCACAGCAAAATGACATGCTCATACATTCCAAGAACTAGGTACGAATAGGGACGTAATGGAGTCGAGTTGAACTCGAGTATCATGATACTAGAGCTTGACTCGACATGCAAGAAGGATGCCCGAACTAGAACTCGAACGAGTAGCATTATTGGAACTCAACTTGAGTTCGATACATTGCTCATAGAACTCGAGCTCGATTTGCATTGGCTCGAGTCAATGTGAGTCTCATCGAGCTCGAGTCAAGTTTTCTTGACAATTTTTGAGCGAAAATATATTATTACTCTTTAAAAATTTTCATACGACTTGAAACATTTCACAAATTCAACCACTCTTTTGGACATAAGAGTAATTTCATAATAATAATATATTAAAACATTAAAATTAAAAAACTCAATAAGACTCGACGAGCCTTCGAGCATTGCATCTGGATACTCGAACTCTACTTGCTCAGCTTATCGATCTACT